TCCTCCCTTCAGTGCATTTTCATTTTAGCTGTGCATTAAAATACCTGGCAGAATTTGGAAACCACTAGACCCAGACTACAACTAAATGAACAGAATCTTGTGCTGGGGACTTCTATATCCATCAGTTTTAAAGGTCTCTTTGCTGTTCTAATGCCTAACCAGAACTGAAAATCACTTTATTAGTCCTGGGTTCTCCACTGTGTGTAGATTTCAGAGCCAGGTGATGAGTTTCTTAATGAACACCAGAAGGCACCTGGACCCTGGCTCAGCAGGTCTGGCTCAGGACTGAGGATCTGTATGTCTAACAGGTATACAGGTCATGTCAAGATCCCTCATCCCAGGATTACACTGAGAATCATGGTCTTAAATTTAATTTTTGTCCCTTCTTTTCAACCTCATTAATTTTAGTTTGTCATTAAGGTCCAGATTAGGTCTCCATCTGTGTGAAAATGTCCTGAATCATTTATGTCCCACTGATATTTGTTTATACCTTTGCTGTAGTCATTGGATACTTAATGTTTTATGGCATCTTGAGCTCATTAATTTAATTTATTTTTTAATATTCATATACTTTTTCTGTCATGTTGACTATAGTATGTATCTTGTACACCAAAGGAGAAGATAGCATCCTTTCCCTGCTTCTTCACATTTCCTGGGTCCTGTCTCAGTGTCATAGGCAGGTACTAAATAACTTGATCATGTATGTGTGAGACTCAGTGCTTCAGTTAGACGACCATTGATTGATTTCCTGATATTTGGCTTTCTTTCATTTCACATTCATTATCTCTGGAATCGTTTCAGAGATCCTGAATCTCTGTGTCTCTTGGAATCACTTTTTCTACTTACAAAGAGGCTGGACTAGTTCGTATGGTCACATAAAAGAAGTGCATGGGCTTTGGAGTCAAGTAAGCTGCATAAATACCACCTCGGCCTCTGTGTACTACTGCTGCACAGGCTCTCTGAGGCTTACCAGAGCAGCTAACTAGTCAGTTGGAATTTTTCCAGCTCTATATCACTAGTACAGTTATACATACATCATAAACATTATGCATATTAACTGTATAATTTTAATATATAATATGAATACTGTTAAAATGCATAATATGTGTGTTATGTAGAACCAAGTCCCATCAAAGGAAAGAATGTATGTAAAACACCGGCTACAAGTCTTATTTGATAGCTACCCATTATTTTTATTTTTTATTATGTGATCCAGACTTGAAATCACTGTAGAGCCTAGGCTGGCCTTAGATGCTCAGCAGTCCCCCTGCATTCAGCTTCCTGAGTGCTGGGACTGCAGGCATGTGTCACCTCACTTGGCTAGCTTTCTTGGTTTTAACACATCATTCAATATGTGTTTCTCAAAACTACGCATTTTGGTGTTGCCATACTCCAAATCAACAAATGGAGTCTCAAAAATGCCATTTAAAGTTTAATTATATGGCACTTTGTGGCTTAGTTTCCGAAGAAGGAATGAAACTAAAGTACTGTTGTTCTTTTAAAACCACGACTTCACTTGTCACTTGTCAGTCCCAGGCACTTCCATACAGGTCTGTCTCTTCTTCTTTACTGAAATTCTTATTACTTTAAAAAAATTATTTCCTAATGTTTGTACTACATAATGATTACATTTATCATGGGGAGTTGCTATGCAGGCATAGTATGGCTTTATTTCATCCCCTAAATCTCCTCACCCTCCAGTTCCCTCCAGCTTTGAGTCCCCCTTCCATTTTTGTTACCATTTTCCGTTTTTATCTTTTTTCTCCATTCTCCTTCCTTCCTCCCCTACTTCTCTCTTCACATTTTGTTCCCTCATTTGAAAAAGAGCTCTTTATTTCTTTATCTTCTATTTTGCGCTCTCTCTCTCTCTCTCTCTCTCTCTCTCTCTCTCTCTCTCTCTCTCTCTCTCCCCCCCCCATATATATAACGTGTATATATTATATATTCTTTTTTTTTTTTTGGTGGAACCAGGAATTGAACTCAGACCCTTGCACTTGCCAGGGAAGCACTTATTCTACTGAGCCATCTCCTCGGCCCCTATATTTTCTTTTATAAAAGAAACCATATGATATTTAAGCTTGTGTGTCTGACTTACTTCATTTACTGTTATGTTCTCAAGTTTCATTCATTTACCTGAAAGTGTCTCAAGTTTATCTTTATGGCATAGTAGTACTGCATTGTGTACAAATACCTCATTTTCTTTATTCATTCATTTGTCCATGGATTTATGCAGCATTGCCATGATGTAGCTATCATACGTTGTGCTTCTATAAACATAGGTATCCATGTACCCCTATATGATGAGCCTAACTCCTTTGGCAAGATTCCTAGAAGGGAAATATCTGTGTCAAATGAAACTTCTGGTTTTAGATTTTTGAAGAATCTCCACGCTGCTTTCCATAGTGCTTATCCTCATTTACATTCCCACCAACAGAATATGAGGGTTCCTTTTCCCTCATATTCTCACCAGTATTTGTTATTTGTTTTTATTTATTTACTTTTAAATGTATTTAGTACAGGGTCTACAGGCTCTTCCTACACAGCTCAGACTCATGGTGATCCTTGTGTCTCAGCCTCCCCAGTGCTGGGATTACAGGCATGCACCATCACCCCTGATTTTGGTGACTGGCACAGCATGCCGTACCAGGGATTGAACCTGGCTCCTTATACTTGCCAGGCAGGCACATAGACCACTAAGCTATCTCTCCAGCTGCTCCAGTAGATTTTTATTAATGTCTTCTCTAGACTCACTGATACTTGTTTCACTGGGATCATTGTCTCTTCAGTTATATCTTAGAATTGTTTTCTTTCCTTCACAGAGAACCTTTCAGACATTTCTTCTGTGTATTTTATGATTTCCTCTCTTTCTGTCTCCCCAGATCAGCTCCAGAGTGTTGGAGATCTTGGAGGCATTTTTTTTTGTCTTATCTTTGCATGTTTTTATTTATGTTTGTCTGTTTGCTGTGTTAGCGTTTGCCCGTTCCTGATAGTGGGTAGTTTTCTTGAGATATCCAACAGGGCAGGGCTGTTAGCCTTTGGTTCTGTCCCATGATCCAGCCACTATGGTTTATTTGGGAGAAAAAGTTGCAAGTTCTTTCACCTAGTGCCCACATCTCCAGGAATGGGCTCCAGTAGTGCTTTTGACTTTCAGGCAATCCATATGTTGGCTGACAGACAAAAACAATTAACAACAGGCACTGTATCACCTCAATTATAGTAATAAAGCCAGTGACAATAACTTCAGATATAAACTAGATACTGACAAATCCTAAGAAGCCTAAGAGCCACTCATGCTTAACCAAAGCAAAGAGAGCTATAGTTTTAGCAGCAGCATAGATTGCCAGTCGCCAACTTTGGCAACCAAGATGCTGACTGATAATAAATCAGATCACTGTTTTTTCTAGATGCAGAAAGCAGTTCTGGGTGCTAATCTCCTTTAGATTCCTCTTCTGAAGGTTGTACTCACCAAACCTGGTCTCCCAGCACAAAATATAGATCCTGTGATCTTCTTGGCCTGATGTTGAGCTTCCCCAGGGATCTCAATGGATTTCTGTCCAGCAATTACCCTCTCAAGCCTGTCGCCCAAGACTTGATTTTACCTAATCTCAGTGCTAGTGTGAAACTCTCCTCCAGCTGGTTGGTGTTTTCCTAGGTCAGGTTGGTCTTTTGCCTCTCATCTCTGCCATTCTGTGTTGAAGAGAACCAAGGTGCAGAGCCAGTGAGGAGCTGGTAGTTTTGCCACTGTCCTCTTTCCCAACGGAGGGTGCATAAAACATCCTGTGGTGGTAGTAGCGTGTGTGTGTGTGTGTGTGTGTGTGCACGCACACACACACGTGTGCACACGCTGCTTTCTTGCAAGGAGTACACAAGGCAGCTGACAGTGATAGAACTGGTATGCAGTACTCCAGGAGTGTTTTTGAAGATGTGTAGCCTGACTTCAGGACCTCTGGGTTACCAATCAACCCTGTTCATGATCTTTCACTCTTTTGAGTCTCACTTGTAAGATCTGAGAAATGAAATTTAATGGCTTAGTTATGTGGCAAAGCAAACATTGTCACTGGACTAGGAAGTTCCAACTTATCTGTGAGCTCTATCATTAACAGGACATCGGGCATTTAAAAACTCTGGACCTCAGATTCAGGTATAAAAATGGCATCTGGAGTAGAAAACCACAACCAACAGAATTTAAGCCATAAAATCTGTATTATGCTCTGAGCTGAATACTTCAGATGTTTGAACTCACTTTAAATTTAGGAAGAAGAGACTATGATATCTTCTATAGAGATGAAGACACCATACTAGGCACAAAGAGGTTAAGTAACCTAAAGAATGTCACATTGCTAGTAAATGGTGGTGCTAAAGACTTATATTTGGGAGCTTATATTCTTATTAAGAGTTATCCATTTCACCATAAAATTTTGACAATGCTTCCAGATATGAAATATGGTTATATAACATTTGTTTCTTATATGATATTTGTTTCTTCTAACAACTTATCCATGAAAAGAAAGATATGTGTCATTTACCAATAATGAAGAAATGAAGAATGTAAAGCTTCCAGGAGAAAACTGAGAAGGTTAAAGGCACTCTGAACAGTAGAGATGATGCCTATTTTCATGAAGTGAAAAGTGAGAGACTGCACAAAGTAGACAATTGTGTAATCAATATTATGTGTATCTTTGATAACCTCCTTTAACAAAGTTCTTTCCTTGCCACTATAAAGTAATCCCTGAAAAATCAAACAAACATAGATAGTTTAGCTGATGTATTTTATAAGCTAAGTCAGAATACTGTATTTTAATCAATTGGTACATTATGCAGTTTTCAGTGTGAATTTATATCTTCAGAGATAGTACTTAGGGACTTTTAGCTGACCTAATTTCATAAACATTGTACCAAGGAGTGAGATAGTTGCCAAGTTGAACATAAGATTAAGGATATATTTAATAAGTTAATGCTCATTTATCTTCTGATTGCTACCTGCTTTTTTTCACATTCAGAATAAAGAGCTAAAAACCAAGGTGGCTCTTTGGTCTGAAACTGCCAAGATGAAAATATCTAAGGCTGTCTCTACGAGGTAAGAGGTCTCTTTTCCCCCCGCTAACTTCATAATTTCTGTTTTGCAAAGTTGACACTCAGTCCACTTGAGAAAGAGGCCTCTCCCTTAACACTTAAAGAACTGTTTATTGTCTCTTCTGCTTTTTTTTTTTTTTCCTTTTTTTGGCAGAACTGGAGATTGAACTCATGCCATTGTGCTTGCCAGGGAAGCATTTATTTTACTGAGCCAGCTCCCCAGCTCCTGTCTCTTCTGCTTTGGATTCAAAACTATATTAATACTATTTGCTCTTGAACCTGTGAAGCCTAACATATCAATACTTACTGCATAAATCAATGAAAAAATTTAGATTCCCCCCCCTCTTGTTTGCCTAACCTCAACTTCAACACCCTCCCCAAGTATTATAAATCATCTATAGTTTGTTTTTCCTCTGTAGTTGATATTTTATGCTATTTGTGAACATTTTAATCATGAGTTGTTAGTATTTATTGAAATTTTCATGACATCTCTCAAATCTGGGAGTAATATCACCAAGTCAAGTGACATTACTTTCTGCATTGCCAAGAACAAGTATATTTAACACCAACCTAGTAATGAATGATTTATAACAATAACAGGGAATCAAAATCACAGTTGAAGCCATCTAAATCAAGTTTTAATCTTTAATTTTTTTTTCCTCTCATTAGCTGAATCTGAATTTGAACTCAAATCTCATTTCCCTACACTCTTGGAAATTATCACTTAAAAAAACATAGCCTGTGATCACATGTATCATTTAAAAGTGATTAAAAACTTCCTTTTTTAGTAGCTTTAAAATTTCCCAGTCTGATTCCTCTAGGGCAGAATCTCATTTTCTGAAACTGTCTTGGGCACAGCGCCTGAGGTGAAAAATAAGACTCACTGTGATGAGCGTCAGTCTAAGAATTCGGGCAGATTCATCTCTTTCTTTATGGCTCCCTGCAACTCTGCCTCATGTTGCTAGTGATGTGTGTAATTCAAGACCAAAGCTGAAACCATTATGAAGGAAGTCCTCTAAATCCTTAGGCCTCCAGGTTCCAAGTTCTCAACTTTCTGGCCACTGTCACAACTTTGAAAACAAAAGAAGCTAGCCTTCAGAGGTTGCTAAGGATGGCCCCACTTCAGAAGCAGGGAGAGAAGAATCCATTGCAGTCAGGGAAGAGATGAAAGCTTCACGATAGGAGGGCAGGGGTGATTTCCCAAGAGCGGGAGGATGGTCAGTGCCATGCTTCTTTTCACACGGAGACCTTTTCTGGGGCTGTGAGGCATTGTGGCCAGCCTGGTACCCTGAGCCTGGAAGGGATGGAGCCACACAGGAGAAAAGGAGCAAAGCAGAAAGGATGGGGAGGGTGCATTTATGCCACAGCCATGACAGTGCTGAGTGCTGCGAGTCTGGTTGGGAATGGGGATGATTTGGTGAGAATGATTTTTTTAAACCCTGTAGCTAATTAAAGCCTCTACGCTGTGTGTGTGTGTGTGTGTGTGTGTGTGTGCGCGCGCATGCACGCGCGCACGGACACACACCCACAGATACATGCATGTGTGTGTTTTTGTTAATGGGAATTGAACCCAGGGCTTTGCACATGCTAGACAAACACTCTACCACTGAACTTCACACCCTCAACCTGTTTGTTTTGTTTTTAATTTGAGACAGGGTTCTGCTAATTTGCCAACACGGGCCTGGATTTGGCAGTCCTCTTGCCTCCACCTCCTGTGTAGCTGAAATGATAGGTGTGCACCATCATATATGGCTTAAGGGATTACTGTTTTAGAGACTTTCCTTTCTAAGACTTTGAAATCATCAAGTTATGTTACTTTCCTAATTCAAATGGTGTAGTTTATCTGCATATCTCTTTTTCTTTGTAATTTTTGGTAGAAATCCCACTGTGAAGTATACAAAGATAGCCCTCTCTTGCACAATGAAGTATAGCCCTACTTGTTGCTTTATGATGTAAATATGGCAGTGTGGTTAGGTGAATGTGGATTCACTGATATAAAATGAAGGTATAACTTTAGGGAGAGATTGGAGTACAAATGTAGCCATTGAGGCAAAAGCATAAAACCATGTACACTTAAAATCTAGTCTTGACACATCTATTAAATTACCCAAGATATATGGTTCTATGTAAGTAGAAGACTTCTTTTCCTCGAGCATTAAAACATGTTTCTTGAGTTAAACACCAGAAGTGGTTTGCTTGAGATGAGCCGCTGTATTGTCAAACAGCAAGATATATAGGTATTTCTAGGTGTAGGTATATGCAGGTATGTGTGTGCAAACATATGTACAGTTTGGATGGCTTTAGATGCTAGAATCACACAGAGAGGAAAGAAGTTCTCTGTCTATGAGAGAACTCGATGACTGAGACATCTTGGGGTACAGTCGCTTCATATTTCTTAACCTCCTGCATGCTTAGGGCAGATCTCCACTCAGGGGAAAGGCAGACACAGGCTTCCTCTCTAGCTTCCCCCTTGCACTTCCATACACTTGTCCTATTCATCTGCCTATGATAAATTTGCTTCTGATGTAGACCTGCCACATAACTCTCACAGGAGAATTGATTAGAATGGATCTGTTAGTGGCAAATTCTTAGGTCAAAGCAGTTCAGACAAGGCATTATGGCTGTTATGATGATGATGCCAGAGTTGTGCTATAAGTAGTGTTTAATATGCTCCCTTTTGATAACCACATTGTCTCTTCTACAGTGAATTAAAGACAGAAGGTACTTCTCCATATTTGATGTTGATTAGGCTTCGGAAATGAACTGGATGAAGAAGGTCTGATTGAGAAAGTCGATGTGGATCTCTTGTGTTCCTTGATGTGCAGTCTAAATGTTCGTGCTGAAATGACACAATGCCTGCATCTAAGTGGGGTTTGTTGTGCACACCAATGGCTTTGCAAGAAGATGACTTGTCAGAAAATCGAATAATTGTATTTGAGGGAAGAAACTTTTTTCCAAAACTTATTAAGAGGATGAAGAAACCAGATGCTTATTCATAGAGGAAGGTGAATTCTACTTCAAACTTAAAAAAAGATCTGAATTTTCTTTTAAGAATTTTTCTACAGGAAGGCTTAAAGATCAACAGTTTTGCTCTCATGTTAGTAGTTTCTTATGAGTAGAATTGAGTGTATAATTGAAATGATATATATTTTAAATTTATTTTTAGAAAATAAAATAGCTACCATTAGAAAAATTTATCTCCTGGTCCATTGTTAGTAGAAAAACATTCTCTACAGAATTATAGGGAAAGGAAGGAGTAAATTATTTTAAGCTCACTCCATAAGCAATATTGCTTTCCAAAGTTGCAAACTCTGGCTGCCTCCTGATACCTCAGAAATTCATTGACTTTAGTTGTTCTGGAACAAAAAATCTTTTTCAAGAGGCAAACCACACACATAATGCACAGTTCTTGTACAGCGTACTCTTGCCTTTTTGGCAGATTTTCTCATTGATATTCATTACAGTGCTGCTACCACTACCACCATAACGCATATGTATTGTGAATTCAAAAGGAATGATGCTATTTGGAGGTGTTTGTCATTTGTGAAAGTGTCCTTAAGTACTGGTGTATGCTTTTATCACAAATGGAGTTTGTGCTTGCTAAGAGCAAAGCCAAACTCTGCCTTGTGGAAATGCAAACATACTGACCCTCAGGAAGCCACTCACATCTTCGCTAAATGAATGAGGACAGCTCAGTCGTCCCCAGGGGAGTGTCTGTAGGCTTTGTTCATCCTGTCTTGTATGTAACACTAAATATTTTCTTGGGAAGGATATTTCCCTCCCAAGCCTTTTAACATAGAATGTAAAAATATCAGTGTTATCTATTAAATATCTAAAAGGATGTATGAGTAAGATAAAGTAATGTATTTCTAAGTTCATCCAAGTACTGTAATCCTTGAAAGGTTGCACAAGTTTCACGCTTGATGGTATCTTAGCAACCTTTTTTTATCACTTGCTAGTTTTTAGGGTATTGTTATCTAATATGTTTATTATCTATATGTTCATACTTATTCTATGCCTGAAAAATTCTAAAACCTTTACCTTTTATTTTCTCCAAAACTTTCAGAAGCAGGCATAACATTACCCCTGTGTTACAGAGGAAAATGTAATGAGATTAAGTAATCTGTACAGCTGCTAGCTGTGGATAAGGATTTGCCCCTTTTGACCTGGCTATCGATGTTCATTCTCTTTGTCCCATTAGCCTCTCCTGTTACTGCAGAAGACAGCTTCCTCTGATGTTTCTGAATTACCTGTGATAGGAACAGTACTTCCTGATAAAGTTGGTATTTCTTGAAATGAGTTGACCTTTCACTTCTTAGACCACTGTCAGAAGAATTAAGTTTAGACAAAATCCTCTACTAAAGAATCTGCTTGTGTTACATTTATTATTCATGACTTTATGACACATTGATGAATTTCTTTGTATTACACTTGGAACACAGTTGTAGATAATTGAGATCATGAAGCTTTATCAGTGCAGTAAAAGAATTTAACTTTCACAAGGAGATCACTTTGATTCCTCTTATAAGCATTATGCAGACTGAACTGCATAATGAAACTGTGTCTCAAAAAGACAAAAAAAGAAAAAGGTAAAAGATAATATTCAGTTCGATTTTGATTTCATTATACTATTTTTAATACAGAGGTACAGTTTACCATAATGCTGTTAGGACCTGCTCATCAGAACTCCAGGTTCACTGGAATGGCCTTTGGATTTCCTGAAAGTAGTAATAGTTGTAGAAGACTGAGAAGATTTAACACTTAAATATACAAGGGAATCTTTATAGGAATGTAGCATTTTTATAGGCTTATCATTTATTTGTCACCTTTATTTTCTGTGTCCTGATTGTTTTACCTTTTTATCATTTGAATTATGTTTTAAAATAAACATTTGCATGACAAAGCAAAAGTTATAATGGAGGAATGAAATTCATTCTGAAACCAGTAGTGCACAGAAAATATGTAAAAAAGAGCACCAGTCATAGTTTAAATAACCTTACTTCTACTTATGCTAATCAAAGCCTGAGAGAGCCTTGAATTCACACATGAAGTCGGGAAATACAAACTCAGTTGTACTTTGAATGTATACACACACACACACACACAATCATGAAATATTTGGGCTATAAAAATTGAGACAGTATAACCTTTGAATAACTGCTTCTAAAATACCTTGTAATAAAATTGATGTTATAGTATATGGTTTATTTTCTTTTAGTGTTTCACCATTTCATCTTTTAAGAAATTTTTATTGGCACATTTTACATAAAAGTAACAGTCAGCAAAAGGAATTGGTACCTGTACATGACATATCTTGCTTCTTTTTCCTCTCACTCCTCTCCCCTCCTTTTGGCGTCTCTTCCTCTCATTATTTACAGAGATTTTACTTCCTTTTTCTCCTCCTTTTTCCTTGTCCCTTCACTCCCCCACCTTCCCTAGCTCCCCTTCCCATTTGAAACAATGAAACAATGCAATATGCAAACATGTGTATGATTTATTTCATTTAAAAGTATGGTCTCAAGGTGCATCCATTTAGCTAGAACCCTTCCCCACTGTTGGTGAGGGTGTAGACTGGTGCAATCCCTGTGGAAATCAGTGTGGAGGTTCCTTGAAAATCTAAAACTAAAGTTCCTTTTGAGTCAGGTATTCCTCTTCTTGATATTTTTCTCAAAGAATTAAAAGCATCATACAACAGTGACATATGCACTCCCATGTTTAGCAGCATAGTTTGTAATAGGCAAATCTTGGAAAGAGCCCAAATGCCCCCAAACCAGTGAATGAATAAAGAAGATTTTTTTTTTTTTTTTTTTTTTTTTTTTTTTTTTATACAGTGGAGTGTCACTCTGTCATGGAAAAGGATAAGCTGTAGCAGAAAATGGTCCACCAGCCAGTCTACTAATTACCCAGGTAGCAGTTTCTGTTAAAAGTTCCTGTTGCCCTGTCTTCTAAAAATGATTGGTGACTATGGTGCATATTGTAAGAATGAATCAACAACAGCCAAGTGTTCTGATTTATACTCACCCTTTGCAACCAACCATAAGATCCTCCCTCTCTGAGCCTTCAGGGCCTGACATTTGAGGAATAATTGCTTTCTGGTCATCTGATGTTATATAAATCTGCCTTGAAACCCTGGTTGTTTTGATGTTTCTACTTGTTGTAAAGCTAGTGTGTTTTCTTGTTTCCTTTTTACTTTGCAGTGTTAGGCATGAATGAATGAAGAGGTTTTTGTGTGATTGTTCATTCTCTATAATATGCACTCTAGGGGCCAGGGAGATAGCTCAGTGGAATAAGTGCTTGCCAAGGTCCAGAGTTCAGTCCCTGGTATCACACACACACACAAAAAAAATGTGCTATATATGGATTATCTTTATGAGTGAAGATATTTAGTTATTCTCTGCTGACTTTTCCTGGATTCAAATTAACTGTAAAATAAATCTAACTTTTTATTCTAAATTTTAAAAATATTATGGAATAAAGAAAAACACATATACTTTTCAAATGTTTGAAATCCCATTCTCCTCTGACTTGCAATAAATAATCATCAATGTCTAAGTAGTTAGCCTAGCCACCCAGAAGTTAAGTGTCCAACTAATATCATAGCTCTTCTTTACTTCTTTTAGTTCATTCTTTTATTGCTCTCCCTTTTCATCCTTCCTTATTTCCTTTCCTCTCTCCTTCCTTTATCCCTTTATTTTTGTGTAAAGTAGGATACAATAAAGATTTAAATTATTATGTTCAGTGACTTTATTGAAGTATATACTTATTTAAAAATGAAGTTCATTGGTACATTTTATGTACACATAATGATCCCATCCATCACAGTGAATCTGTACCTGTACAACATATACTTTGATTCTTCTTTCCCCATTTCCCTTCCTTCCCTTCAATCCCCTTCCCTTCCTTATTACAAAAGCTTTGTTTCCATTTTTCTTTCTTTTCTAGTTTTATCTTTTTTTCTTCCTTTTCTTCTCATGTGCCCTAGTTTTTCTTCCTATTTGAACATTTTCTTTCTATTCCACTATATATGTTAAATATTTTTGTCCTGATTTATACTCTAGGTATGTTCTCAAGGTGCATCCATTTGCCTAGTAATGTCTCATGCTTATCCTTCTTTATGGCTCCCTTGTACTCCAGCAAAACCACCTCTTTATCCATTCGTTGGCTTATGGGCATTTGTTCTTTTCCCAAGATTCAGCTATTACAAACTGTACCACTGTAAACATTGGTATGCATATATACTTGTGGTATGACGCTTTTAATTTTTTTAAGAATACAAAATAGTGACAGCAAAAAAAACAGAAACTATACAAAATTTCACTAAACAAAGTAATAGAAATTCAACAAGGGTTGCTGTAGTGCATGATACTATCTTCAGATTAATTGTTCAAGTTACCAAATACAAACATGCAAGATTGGCTTAAAGAAAAAAACAGGCTGGGGAATCAGCTGAGCCGTCTAACTGCCTACATAGCAATCACAAGGACCTGAGTTCAGACCCTGGTATTGCATGCTGTCTGAGCCCCAGAACCCTGGGCATGGTGGCCCATGCTTATAATCCCAGTGCTAGGGATTATAAGGAGAATCACTATGCATCTGAGCTGTGTAGTGAGACCATGTATCCAATAAATACATAAATACTTTAAAAAATAACACAATAACAAAAATTGTAAGAAATTCAAAAAATGAATAAAGTAAACATTAACTGCTCCTTTGAAAAGACGAGCAGAAATCAGCGATACAATTATCCAAACTATTTTGTATATATACCTAAACAAATCCCTTTCCCTTTCATTTTTGGTTCTCCTTATCCCAGGTTTTCCTTCCCATCAAACAAATTCTTTTCCTTTCAGATGTTAGTTACCTTTTAGGTTCTCACGCTGGTGCGATAATACATCGTTTGCACATGTGGCTCTGTTTTATTTCACTTACGAATATAGTCTCTAGTTGCATCCATTTACCTACAAAAGCTTTGAATTTATCTTTTTGAGAGGAAAATAATATTCCATTATGTAAAAATACCATATTTTTTATATTCATTCCTCAGTTGATGGACATTTGGATTGTTTCTAAGATTTAGCTATGAAAACTTGTGTTGTTATGATCATGGGAGCACATATGTTGCTCTGGTATGATGATTTCAGTTCTTTCAGAAAAATACCTAGGAGAGAAATAGCTGGCTTCATTGGGACTGCCAATCTTAGTTTTTTGAGCAATCTACACAGTGATTTACTTAATGATTATACCAGCCTGCACTCCCACCAACAGTGGAGAAGATTTCTTTTTCCTCACACCCTCCCCAGCATTTGTTAATGGTTGACTACTTGATGATAGCCATTCTTTCTGGCATAAAATGATGTCTCAGGGGCCAGGGAGATGGCTCAGTAAGCGCTTCCCTGGCAAGCACAAGGGCCTGAATTCAATCCCCAGTCCCTCCCCCCCCCAAAAAAAGAAATATATATCTAATGATGTCTCAGTATTGTTCTAACTTGCATCTCTTGAATGACCAATGATGTTGACCATTTTTCATATATTTATTTGCCATTTATATGTCTTCATTTGTTAAGTGTATATTCATGTCAAATGCCCATTTTGGGATTGGGCCTTTGAATTTTGGAGGCCTGAATTTTTTTAATTCTTTATATGTTCTAGATAGGAGTCTTCTGTCTGAACAACAGTCCACTATAATTTTTTCCCAATTTATGAGTTTTGTTTTTACTGTGTTGATTTTTTTGATGTGCAGAAACTTTTCAAAAAGATGACATTTTAACTGTTGATTCTTTAAAGTATTTTCTGTGCAGTTTGATTTTTGGTAATGGCTTCTCTACCTACCCCTATATCCTTAAGATTTCTACCTACTTTTTATTCCGGAAGATTTAGTGTTTCAGTTTTAATATTTAAATCTTTGATCCATTTTTACTGTAGTTTTGTGCATGATGATAGGCATGGATCTATTTTTAGCTTTTGGCACATGGAAAGACAGTTTTTCCAGCACCTTTATTAAAGAGTCAAATAGAAGGTGGCTGAGTGTGTTTTTAGTTGTTTCTGAATCTTTTAATTTGTTCCATTGATCCTCAAGTCTTTTTTTTTTTGCCAGTAAAAATGCTGATTTTATCACAGCTTTGTAGTAGAATTTCAAGTCAGGGATTGTGATGCCTCCTGCCTTGCCTTTGTTACCCAGAATTGCTTTGGCTACTCTTAAGTCTATTCTGGTTCTAGATGAATTTTAGGATTTTTTTTTCTAGATCTGTAAGATATACTAATGGCATTTTAATTGAAATTGCATTGAATCTGTATAACAATTTTGGGAGTATGGTCATTTTTACAGTGTTGGTATTTTCTGTCCACAAGCCAGGAGTATCTTTTCATTTTCTGAATTACTCTTCAACCACTTTTCTCAGAGTACTATAATTTTTGCTCTGCATATCTTTTACTTCCTTTGTGAGACTGATTCCTAAGTATTTCTTTTTGGGGAGGGATGTTATTATTTTTTTTCTGTATTTTAGGGAAGGGTCTACAGGGTGTTTAGGGTCTCACTACTAGATCGTACTCATAGTGACTCTCCTGTTTACCATCTCCCAAGTGCTGAAATTACAGGTGTGCACCACCATGGCCAGTCTCAATGGCCATCTCAGTGCCCTGGGGGCGGGGCCAGTATGGCAAGCCCCAGGAGCAAACCCCCAGTCCCTGCACCTGCCTCCATGTTTTTTAATCCACTGAGCTATTTGGCCAGCCTTTGGGGGGTGTTATTATGAAAGGCATGATTTCCATAATTTCTCTCTTAGTGTATTCATTGTTTGTGTACAGAAATGCTATTGATTTTTTTGTGTGTGTTTTGACATTATATCCTGCTATGTTACTGAATTTGGTTATTAAAGCAACACATCTCTTAGTGGAGTTTTTGGGGTCTTCTATGTACAGCATCCTCTCATCTGCTAATGATAATTTCATGTTGAAGTTTATGCTTTTTACGGAGTTCAAAACATAGCATCCCTACTATGGCACATTGGCATTTTCGAAAACAGCAGAAGCTGGAAAGCTACTTTACCTTTCCTCTTTCTCCTCTGAATCAGATTATAAAACTTAGCAAGGACTTTTCTGACCTTTTTCTAGAAGATACTGGAAAAATGCTCTCTGTACACACAAAGAGAAATAACATCCTTGTTTCTAAAGACATAAGGACCCAGCAAAAGTCAGAACATACAGCCTTCCTCAGTCCTCTGCAATTTATTCCTATTTTATCTTTGTCCAGTTGTATTTCTACACAACTATTTATTTTATCAAACTAATATTAAAATACACAGTTTCTCATTTTTTGGATATTTCTTTCCTTATAATGGTGTCCATGTTATGTAAAACTGAAATAAAATTCAATGTTTTCTTTTGCTTGTCTGTCTTTTTTATGCCTTTGTTTCATTGTGTTTTTTAAAGGAAAAAAATTTCAATTTTAATGAAATTCAATTTAGAATTGTTTTTATAGTGAATAGTCTTTGAATATGAAAAATCTTACCTATTTTAATACTACAAAGGTAATCTAGGCTTTCCTAGAACTTTTACAGTTTCAGTTTTATATTTAGGCTGCGATAAAAATAAAGCAGGTAACAGGGACTGGATTTTCAAGGGTGATAGTGCAGTTAAAATTTTAAATGGGGAAATAATTTAACAAATAGTAACTATATGCTGATAATTTAATAAGTCTTCAATTTAAGATTCTCCCCCCCAACTTGAAATTAACATTTAAGAATGGAAAAAAGGACATTGTTTGTTATTTAGTCCAAGTGGTCCAGGCAGATGCTCATGCAGGAGCATAAGCCCAGAAGAGTGGACAAACCACGTGTTTGTGACAGGGCCGCATGCAGCAGGATCAATAAGTAAATCTAAGTATTGTTTAAATGCTCATAGGGTTGACAAGATAGCTCAGCTGTCTAAAGCGCCTGCTTAGGCAACCATAGGCAAGCACACAGGGACTGGTTCAATCCCCGGCACCACATGCTCTGCCAGTCCTACCACTAGGCTGAGCTGGCCACAGAACAAACAAAAACAAACAAAAAACAATGCTCTTCTATGTAATATATTCTTTCATATTTTCTTTGTTTACATCATTCCTTTTATTTAAGTTTTCCTTCTAGTGCATTTTTGAGTTCTGAGCAATGGAAAGCTGAAGATGTTTAAGAATCTGTGTCATGACCTTGCTCTAGTTGCCTGAGGGAGTAGAGAGAGGCCATGTTCTCTGAGAGAGGCAGTGAAAGGAAACTTGCCCTTAGATGACTCAGTTACATGGCCTGGTTTTGACCAAACTTGTTGGCTCAGAGGCTTCATAATCAGCTGGTTTTAGAAGTGGAGGCAGGAGAAAGGGCTCAGAATCTTGAGCAGGAGCCAGCAGCATAAGCCTTTATCACACATATTAGCTAGCACAATGTTAAATTGCTCCTAGGGGCCCACGTCCTCAATGAGTGCATAGTGTTGCTCTGGACAGCTCAACACTTCGCCATGTTTTGTTGTAACCTGGATGTTGCTACTTCTTTTCAGCCGTTTATTAAAGAAGAGGTTTTCATCTTTCAGTGACTGGTGGGAACAGTTTAAAGTTGTGATAACTTCAGAAATTATCTCTCTTTTCATTGTTTGTTGTTTTCCAAAACTGTGATGCAAGTCACTTACATGCACTTCTAGCAGGACAGCAATGCTTGCACTCTTAACTGTAGCTAGCTTTCTCCATAAGTCATAATCAGGATCAGAAGTAGATTTCTCTTTGGTATAAAGAACAGTGAATAATACAGAATACCTTACACACAGTTTTAAAACAGAAATGCTACAATTCCAGAAAGTGAATATTAAGGTGTTTTATCTTTTTGAGAATAGGTTATGCTGTGACTTTTAAAGTTCTCATAAAACTAGGAGGGGAAATGAGCCCCCTAGTGATTTTTTCAGGACTGATGCATGATGAACCTAGTGGCAAAATATTCTACTTACATAAAACAGCACTATGGCTATCTGGGAATAAAGGACTTACTTGCCTGTACTTGGGAGAGATATCTTTTAAAAAACCTCATCATTATCTTGGCAAAGCCTGTACCTGTAGCACATGGAGAGAGGTCCTCTCTGAGAACAAAAAATCCTTTTATTACTGAACACTGTACAAGAAGCTGCATGGCTGTGGTCTTGAGTTGGCCTTGTATATCAGGCTGTCACCAGTCTGTGAGCACAGGAAATATCAGCCCCCACGGAGCAGTTTATTGTGAGGAAGAAATAGATTACAACATGTGAAGTACTTCACTGCCATATTAATTGCTCGTTTAAATAGATGTGCCATTCAAAAGTATTAGACAATTTCATTTGCAAACCCTGATCTTTAAATAATTAATGGGAAAATGTAGGGAGATAGATAAAAATCAGTAGACCAAGCCCACATCACTCATTTACTACTCGTTTTTAATGTGACACAACTTTCACATTGATACTGATTTGATGTTTCCCACTCACGGCATAACACATCTGCGAAGACATAAATTTGCTTGGAATACATGAAATAATTGATAAAAATGCATTTTTATTTGAAAAGTGTGTGGAAACAATCACTGAATACATTTCTCAACTATGGTATTTAAACCCACATACCACACAGTCATTGGATGCTATTATGTCTGAAGCCACTAGAACTTTGGTACAACAAAGAATGGACTAACTGTGGCTTTTATGAACCACAGTATATTCCAGAGCATACAAAATAAAAATTCCAAGTTCAAAGTTTTAAGTTACATTCAAAGCATTAGACAAAACAGATCTGTGTAGAAGACAGACAAAACATGCCTAGTTTAAAACTGAGGATAATATTACTCAAAGGTAAACTATTGGGCTACAGTAAAGCACTTCAGTGTTATTTTAGTAAAACATTGTCTACTTTTAACACCTTAACTAAAGCAGAATTTTTTTTTAATTTCAAATACAATCAGAATTTTTACAAAGGTGATAGACATAAAAGTCCCATTTGTACAGCAGATTTTGATCAAGTCATAATATACTATCTATAATTAATTTGATTTCTTTAAAAGAAATATGAGACCACAAACAGATTGAAATAGAGCTTATTTTTTCTCACTGTTGAGATATAGTTGACATTTTCAATCAAATCCAGTGACCATAAGGTGACTGACCTTTTGTAGTTTCTAGTACACCTTTAAAATTAGTGTGCTATTCCTGCTCTAAGTGGTCCAGATTGTAACTTTGTAACTCATCTTTAGCTTGTAGTGAGTGTTTATTTGAAATGAAATATAATATGCAAACCAGTTTTCAGTCTTTCAAGCCTGCTGTGGATCCACTGAGACACTCAAATTTTAAATGCTTATATGAGGAGAAGTCACTAACATATTGAATGATGTACTATGGTCCCCAAAGGTCACTTTTCCTTTCTACGATATTAAGCTTTTTTTCCCAGACACTTTTGGGAAAAAGTTATACCCCCCAAAAAAGGTAAGCATAGATGATAGATAGGATTTTATTGTGCCAACATATATAAGGATAGCAGTCACTGATTAAATAAGAGATCCACTTGCTAAGTTCAAATGTGCTGGTTCTTATAGAATCTACTACCAAGCCTTAAAGATGAAATCACTTGAGAGATACAGTTGTGAATGCCAAGATATCTTGGAAAGGAAATAAACCAGGAAACCAAAGTTATAACACTCAACACCGCTGTATATTTTTCACAAAAGATGACATTATCTTTACCAGTCCCACTATTTTGGTAGTAACGTTTTTGTTTACTTGTTAATGTGTTTCTCCATACATGAGGTTAAAAAAATACCTTAACCATGGATGATTGGTACAAAGAACTCTTAAAAAAATATTTAGGATGTTGTTCCTTAAAAAATTAGGATTTTCAAGTATAATTTATGAAAATATTTTATTCATATGCATTAAATTAAATGTTTTGTTTCAAATCCCAATTTTTGATTGGGATTAAAGAAATGATTGGTGTTTTAATTTTTTTTTTTTTTGTATTTAGTACAGGGTCTACAGGGTCTTACTGTACAGATCAGACTCATAGTGAGCCTCCTGTTTTCAACCTCCCAAGCACTGGGATTACAGGCACATGCCACCATGCCCAGTCTTGGTCACAGTCTCAGCGTGCCCCCAGGGCAAGGCTGGCACTGCCCGCCAGGGATCAAACTTCGGTCCCTGCATCTACTTACGCAGGTGCTCTGGACCACTGAGCTATCTGGACAGGCCTAAATATTTTTATTAGTTTAATTTTAAAAGTATATCCTCTAGTTGTTACATTAAAATGATTAAAAGTTTCCATGGATATAGTTATAAATACTCTCTAATCCTTTATTTCTATCTAAAAATAAACCAACAGCTTTCTTCATAGTCACCAATATTGAAGAGCACAATTTAGCCAATTTTGAACTCTCATTTCTCCTCACAGCTTTTGCTCTGCTGTGTCTTTGTGGCTAGGCCTTCACCCAAGACTCTGAAGGCAATAATTTCATAAAATCTTCAATGAGTAGTATCAGAGATTTATAAAGCATTGAGACAACATTCATATAAGGTAACATTCTCTGTCAACACTCTCCCAAGAAGCCAGCAGGTATCACCTTGATCAAAGAACAAGAAGAAAATACAGCTTATGGAAAACTTTCAGACAGCATCTCTAATATAGATAGCATCTTGGCATCATTAGAAATGATAAATTTTTCTCCAAAATACGCACACACTAGACAGTGCTGTAAAGCTTGGAAGTAGAAGATAAAAGACAACTCTTTTACCACTGGCTAACATCAGCGCTCAGATCTTTAAAAAAGATATTATGTAGCTTAGGAAATAAGATTAGAATATCATTTCTATATTTTGAGTTTTATAATAAAAATTTAAAATCCTTTATGGATGATAGGATTTTTTTCTCTCAAATTTATGTGATACCCATTAAGAAAGTATGTATCTGTTTTAAAAGCAACTGAGATTTATTTATTTATTTAATCTTTTACTTATTTATGTATTTGGTACAAGGTCTCGCTATACAGCTTGGACTCATAGTGATCCTCCTGTCTCAGCCTCCCCAGCGATGGAATTACAGTCGTGTGCCACCATGCCTGGTCTCGGTGGCCAGCACGGCACACCAGGGGTTCAGGGGCCAGCATGGTATGTGGAACAGGGTATCACACCGACGTCCTTGTGCTTGACAGGCAGCACTGACACTGCTGAGCTATCTCCCCAGCCCACAGGAAAGATTTAGAACAATAATCTTATTCACAGGCACACGTGCTCCACATTATCTATTATGTCTTTGTATCTACTGTATCAGTACACAATATTAGCTTCTAATTTTTGTATGCATGCTAGTGGTGAAGATAATATGGGATTGATCATTTTGTTGATTCCTAACAGACACTACGGTCAAACTTCTACTACTTATTCGGGAAACAAGAAAAGTGCTGAGAAAAATTCCTGCCCAGTTCTTACTATCTGTACAGGTTGGCAAACAAGTATAGTAGAGTATGACAAAGATGCACAGAATGGTCCACCTGGTAAAGTACAATTGGTAAAATACTTTAGAAAATGCTGGTCTTGAATTGTTTGCAGTGCGACAGCTGATAATATGGAAATGAAGGATAATTAGCTAGAGTGACAACATGAGAGTTTTTAAATTCTTAATGGATAAACATCCAATTCTCAACACTCAGTGTTTTCTTTAATTTATGAGTTGCTACCATCATTAGACCTCAACAGACATTCCATTCTCTTGACTGTATTTGATACACTTAAGAAGTCTTTCTGCATTTTCAGTAAAAGATAGCCTTGCACTTAATCGCAATTAAGTCTCGAGTACCTTCCACTCTATGAGAAGTAAGCTAGGAAACCAAGAGAAGGTGGTAACGATCTCTAGATTCCAATAAAGGCTGTGCCTTCTTTGCTAATGATCTCAGAAGACCTTTAGCTGTGTGGGTATCACAGTAAGGCCTTCCTAAAAGAGACCAGAGCAAATGAGCTGTAGCTGGAGACAAATTTGGTCACAGAAATATTTTAGGCACTAAATTAGGATGATGTAAACATCAAACCAGTGTAAACATTCTACAAAAGAGTTCTGTACCAGAAAAGGTTTCATGTACATTTTAAACATTTCTTCAAAATAGAAGATGATTTACTGAACCATTTTGAAATGATCAGAAAGCAGGACTTATTTTGGGTAAAAATATATACTATTATGGGATAAAAGAAACAGAATTATTTAAAGCAATCTGTACATTTGTGGCACCAGGTAAGTTTCAAATTGGAAATGAATTCTACAGAGCTATTAACCCTGAAATAATGAAGGAATTTCTAATAATGGCTACCTAGATTTGAAGGTTACATGTCATTTTTTCCAGAGAAAATATTTTTAGAACAAGTATTTACTTAAAAATAAAATAATATTTTCATTTTCTTGTCAGTTATAAATTTCAGTCCTTTTGAAATTATTACCCAATAATTGTTATTTATGCAGGCACAGTTCTATAATTATGGGCCTCATCACCCTTTGCTTCATGCTTCAGCTATCATATAGCAATCTCAAAATAGACCCTGAAAAAATACTCATTAGATAATTGACAATGACAGAATCCTGGCACATTATATCAATCATATAACTGGAAAATGAACAGTAAATGAAAGAAATATCCCACAAGAATCTCTAGCATTTTATAAAAGTCTAGCCTTCCCTATTATGGAAATGCAGGAGCCTGACAATGTGGACTCCTTGGAAAAGAAACTCATACTAGTCACAAAAATTTACCAGACTTTATGGCAGCAGTGGTTACATGGTTTCTCCTCACTGTCCTTCTAGAAGAAATACCTTAATTGTTTAGATAATAGCTTTCTAGATTCATGGTGCAGGCACTGAGTTCATGCAGAGTGTTCTAGAGAAAACACAGCTGAAAAGAATACCAAGCCATGGTCCGACTTAGTAGGTGCTGCACTGCTAGAGAAATCATAGGCTTAGCACCGCACAGTTAACACTGAGAATACCCTGGGGACCTTTCTCATAACAGCTTCTAAGGTGTTCTGTTTTGTGGCACATGTTTGGGTCTAGTTCATCCCCAAAACGCAAATAGTTATTATCTTGGCTCTTTTTGTATTTCTGAAACATTCAATAGCAGATGGAGGTTTGTAAAATATGTTGAAAAGGGAACTGCAATTCTAAGTTCTTTAATGTTCCTTACTTAACAAAGTAAATATAGAGTATGGAAAAATGAGGTTCAGTTGGAAAAATTTTATAGGAACGTGAGTAATTCTGCAAAAATTATATACTCACAGTAAAAAGGAAAAAATGGAATAGTTGCCTTTATCACCGATAGTATAGACTGATATATTATTTAGATATAAATACTATTATAACAGGAATCGCTTGTGTGTATCAGAAACTAAGTTTAAAACTTACATGCCATTAGTGTCCACAAGTATGAGAAATAACCAATAGAAAATACCTTTGTGATAATTTATAGAAAGAAAAGGCAGCTTTATGTAAAAAAATAATAATAAAGCAACTGACCACATTTTTGGTGAGATAAGATATGGCTTCATCTCGGCCCAACATTCACACATAGGGCAAGTATAGATTTTTTTTCTTAGACAAAATAAAAACATATTGTAATAAAGAATATGGTATCATCAATTTTTATATAATTAATGACATGAAAATTCAGAGGAACCCTAGAATTGATCCATCATTATTCTGAGGTTGGTGGGCTAAGATGTGACACATTTAATGTTTCTGCAATTGATTCAAAGCCAGGGGTGAGAGAGGGTTGAAAGGAAAAACATGAATCAGACTTTCTAGTGCTCTGGTACAGTAAAAGGAAACCTATAATTAGGAATCACTTGTGTTTTATATGAACAGTGTATTTTATCTTTAAATTTTAGGTTAAATAAGTTTTCTGGATTACATTTGAAAAGAGATATTTAATATACGGCAGTGGTTTATTGAGTTTTGTGACTATTTACCACATTTGCTGAGAAAAGCAAAATGTTGGAAAGGGGAACATTTAGATTTCTGTTTAAGCATAACTGGTATTATCAGCTTCTAACTGGCTTGGGTGAAACTTGACTAAATAACTCTTCCAGACATCTGTAACAGATACATTTGATTTCAGCTGTACAAATGCCTCATTTCTACACTTTTTCCTCCAGAAAGTTCTCCCCTACTTTGTCAACCACAGTCCTGTTCTTGTCTACCTGCCACTTATTAGGATGCTAAAAATCATATTACTATGCAATCTCCTCATTTCAGCAGAATTCTGACCTTCATCCATCATAAGCTTATCAGTAATTTAACCACTCTAGTTCAGCATCTTGGGTACATACAGTCATGTCATTCTTAATGGACCACATAAAATTCTCCATTGTGTAACCAATTTTAGCTAATATGTTTTCCCCAATAGAAATGTAGAAGGATGAATCATATTTGATATAAATAAATGCAAATTTTTAAAAATCTTTCTGTATTCTTCCAGTAGTAGCCTATTCCTTTCTTCATTGTAGCAAAGTAATATTTGATGTCTTTTAAAACTCACTGATACTTATTTCTTGTATGCTCTCTTGCATGCTATGCTTTTTTATATAAAAAAACTGAGCATCAGGATGGTTAGATTGGTCATCTTAGAAAGCCTTCAATTTTATTTGGAAGAGACTCAAGAATAGCTGGTCAGTTCTTTTCAACACTTTTAGCTATTCCTGTTCTTAAAATAGGTTTTCTGGATGAAAAAGGAAAACATGCTGTTGTGTATGGTCCAATTTGTGGTTTGTCACTGTTTTCAGAAGCAATATTTGGGCAAGTGTCTTGGCTGTCAGCTCCGGTGTACAGGCTAGCAGGCACATTTCTTCTCTGCTGACTTCTCCCCATCTAGCTTTCCAGAATTTCCACCATTGACAGCATCGGGGACCTGTGTCTTCTCCACACACTGTTCCATTCGTTTCATTATTAAGTCCAGAAGGGTTTCCACAGATTTCTCTACATTCTGTCCAGTAGCTGCACTTGTTTCAAAATATGGAATGCTAGTATAGAAAAAATGACACAAATGTGTTTGAAACTGACAGAATTGCATGTATATATCATATATAACATGATGTCCTAAAGTATACAGACATTGTGCAGAAGACAAAGCCTAGTTAACTAACAGATGTATTACTTCACACAATTATCTTTGTGTTAACATGGACTGTCTTGGTATTTTTCAAGAGTATAATTTATCACTATTAAATACAAACAACATGCTGCTCAGGATATCTTTTAAACTTCCTGTTGAAAACTGTCAAGAAAGTAAATAGTACATTTTCTCACAAAATGTTAACAAATACTTCAAGAAGATGAAATCAGAAAAGATTCAAGATGTATAGGTGAATCACGCAAGCACAATTAGGACTGCCAGGGAAACTGTGAAATCGTGTTTCTGTTGGATAAACTGGAAACATCCTTGTTCTTTTTTCTTAATGTGAAAAGTTGAAGAGCTGCAAGTTGACGAGCTGCTCTTTAGTATTACAACCAACTGCATGGGCAAGGGAACTGCTCGTGGAAGTAGGCAGCAGTTGAGGTCAAGGCATGATCACTGGTTAAAAAAAAAATCACAAGACGGAAAAATGCCTACACTAGGGATCAATACCCCTATTAAACTATCATTTCCATTTCAGTGGGTCACTGGAAATCTGATGCACTATAAATTAAGTATGTATCAATTAGGATATTTACACAAATGCAGACAATTTTTAAAAAGGTCCAAAAAGATGTAAATTTTTAATCTCTGAATGAGAATCTTTCAGGAAAAAAAATGACACATATAATGACACTGTTTTAAGTTTAAAAAATAATTCTTCTGTGGAAACCAATGTAGTTATATGGATTCATGTTTGTGGATTTTTTTTTTTTTTCACTGTCACATAAGCTCAGCTAGGACACAGGCAATATTATCCTGTTCATGTTAGGATTCTGGTAGCATATAGAGTTTAAGAACCTGAGCTCAACTGAATTTTAGGTCTATTCTTCATATTTGCTTGGCTTTCATAAGTATTTAATCTCTCTGTGATCAATTCTTCATCTCTAAAATGGGATAACTGTAGTATCTCCTGTTCATGCTTTTGAGGAATTAAATAAGATAAGGTAGGAATAGTTGCTAGCCTGTAGCAGGGATTCAGTAAATGTTAAGTGCTATTATTAGGCACTGAAACATCACATACTCCTCTGGAAGGGCTTTGTAATTTACTAACTGTTCTCCAGCCTTGGGGGGATCCCTTCTCACCTCAGTCTCAGGCTTCTGCTATATTCCTGAGCAACAGAGCGAAAAGTCAGGTGGTGCTAGCTTACTCTTTTCAGTGGAACTGACTTACCCATATTTTTCAGCTAATTCCCGGGCTTGCCGTTCATTGACTTCCCTCTGGTCTGGCAGGTCTGCCTTGTTGCCAATTAATACTATGTCTGGATTTTCACAGTAAGCATTTGCTTGAAGTTGGCCTTGGAAAACAGATGGAACCCACAAGTCAGTTATAAACAAGTGATGTCAAATTACTGCTCTTACTCAAGATTCCTAATCGAATTGTTCATCTTCATTTTGGTTGGTTACTGATGCTAACTTACTCTTCTCACTCACATTTTCCTCTTCCAAAAAAGGAAACACTACAGCACCTCTGTACTTGTGGGTTGTGATGATGACCAATGATAAGCACTGAGCACCTGAGTCAGTACCGAGTCCAGCTATGCGTTCTAGCGCCTGGGGAAAGGTCCTGACACACTGCTTCACACCATTTCTTCCTCCAAAAGGGGAAATAGTTGAACAGGATTGTAAAGTGTATAAATCTGCCTGTTCAATGTTAGAGGACGCTAAATGTTCATCATCAAAGTGATGATCTACTCATAGAGTTTTAAATCACCAAAAATTCAGGTAGAAACAATTTGAATACAGGTAACTTGCTTTTTCTTTTTTTCTCCATGAAAACAGCGTGTGTGTGTGTGTGTGTGTGTGTGTGTGTGTGTGTGTGTGTAGCAGAGACAGGGAAACACAGATAGAGGAGTGACAGAGGGGGGAGGAAAGGAGGAAGAGAAGAAAAGTAAACAAACCCGTCAACTTGTGTTTTCTAAGCCACAGTCAAAAGGAAGAACACAGAGGTTTGCCCTGTAATAGCAATTACTTGAGGGTTAGAAACTCAACTCCTGCCATGCGGCAATTAATTATCTTAAATCCTATCAAAATCCTTCTGGAGACTGAAAGTAATGGAGTTTTGTCTGCCTCGAAGGACAACAAACCATTCTCTGAAAAAAAAAAAAGTAATAATCTTATTATGTCCCTGTCTCCTCTGAATCTAATAATACTTCCAAAATTTGAATAAGAAAATAAAATATTAAAAGGAAATACAGATCCTAAGGTAAACATTCATTTTCAAAAGCAATTAAGGAAGTCAGAATTTGTTGATATTTTTTCACACTCATTGTTATTAAGGGCCAGCCAGAGAGCTCAGCGGACTAAAGTGCCTGCTTAGGCAGAGTGCAGGGGCCAGGGTTCGATCCTCAGCCTGCCATGCTGGCCCCACCCCCCGGGGCACGCTGAGACAGTGACTGAGACTGGATGTGGTAGCCCACGCCTGTAATCCCAGCGCTTGGGAGGCTGAAAACAGGAGAATCACTACGAGTCTGATCTACATGGTGAGACCTTGTACACCCTGTAGACCCTGTCCTAAATTTATTTAAAAACAAAAAAACCCATTAAATTTGAAAGCAGTCACACATATTTAAATTGTTAATAATATTTAAGTGTAATGTGTTAATTATATATAGTATGCAGTAATTTGTATATATACAAACATCTAGTCAATGTCAGAAATTTACCAAGAACTAGAATATCTTAGTGAACTGACATAGACACAGTCTGTCTTTTTATAGAGCTTACATTCTAGTGGTGGGAAAAGTAAATTAATAAGTAAACATAAAATACATGTTACAAGGATAGATCACAAAATATGATAAATGTTTGCATTTTAAAATTTTCGTGCAGTACTTTATATGACAGAGTACTACTCAGTTATAAGGAAAGACAAACTCGAACCCTTTATAGGTAAACGGATGAGATAGAGGCTATACCTATAAGTGAAATAAATCAGACCCACATGTGTAAATATTGTATTGCTTTCCTAGTGTAAAAACATGAAAGAATAAATAAAAGCTGAAAGGTATAATAGATACAGTAAAACAGAAGCAAACTGAACTTAAGTATTAGACAACAAAGATGAGGGAAAAGAGAAAAGATAGGAAAAAAAGCAGGGAAAACCATGCAAGTATATAATATACACAGGAAAGATGAGATGATTATACTTATAAATTCCATCAGTGTTTTGAAAATAACAGTTAATGTTTAGAATTTTCTGAGCAGCTACATCAAAGAGCAGTGTAATACAAAACCCATGGTCGACTACCTCGCATCTTGGTCTTCTAAATGTGTACCACTTCTAATGTCTTATCAATTATTACACTTTCTTTAAAATAAAACAAAAAAAGACAAGGAAAAAAATTTAGATTTCTTTTTTTTTTTTGTATTTTAGGGATGGGTCTTCAGGGTGTTCAGGGTCTCACTACTACATCAGACTCATAGTGATTCGCCTGTTTACAGCATCCCAAGAGCTGGGATTACAGGCACGCGCCATCACACCCAGTCTCAGTTGCTCTCTCAGCATGCCCCAGGGGTGGAGCTGGCACAGCAAGATTTCTTGAAATCAAGACCAATATTCAGTTATTTCCCCAATCATGCATAACTATATCTGTTAATCTGATCAACAGATTTGATGATAAAAATAGATAATATAATAACTATTGTTAATTAGCTATTCCTGTTTTTGAAAATCTGTAACATATGTATTGTGTTACCATGTTTCTGTCTTTTTTTCTATTTGTTTTTGCTTCTGTTCCTACTCTTCAAAATAAAATAAAATTTTATTTAAAAAAAGAAGACAAGAAAATAGAAAAAGTTAAGGTTTCTTGAAAGCAAGCACTAATAATCAATTATTTATCCAATCTTGCATAAGTATTTCTCTTCATCTGAACAACAGATCTGATGACAAAAATAGGTAATATAACAACCATTGTTAATTAGCTATTCTCATTTTAAAATCTGAAACATATAATGCACTGTATATGTTGTCCCCTTTCTGTCTTTGTTTCTGCTGTTTGTTTTTGCTTTTGTTTTTTACTCTTCAAAATAAAAGAAAACAAAAATTTATTATTACAATAAAAGAAAAACTGCCATGAATCCCTCTCAAGATAATTCCTCTTTCTTCAAAAGCACTTACTCCACCACTCTTGTCCCTTTCTAGAGCACTTTGCAAAATTTTTTTCCCAGAGTATCTCGAGTTACATGGCAGTAGCACCTCAATATCCTAAATCTGTTTCAAACATTTGCCTTTCATGGCCATTTTGACTTTGGGGATGGGCCAGAAGTCACATGGCATCAGAGTTGATGAATAAAGTGGATGAGGACACACTCATGCTTCTATTGCACACAAATTGCCATACATCATTTTTAAGCAACAATGTAGAATGATCATGATAGACAGATTGGGGAATTCAGAGGCTCCTGGGAAAAAAAAAACTTAGATGTTACCAGAGCAACACTACCAGCCCAGGGGAGAAGAGTAGAAGGGCAATTGAGCTCTCCTATGATTGTACATCCCATTAGGATGAAATTCCTTATTTGTACTAAAAACATCACGAAATACTCTTTTCTAATGCTACATCAATTTAAAAAATAAAGGAAATTTCTGGCACTTCTCTCCTGTATTGATTTATATCAATCTGATTCCAATGACTAGTTATGTAACATTTAAATTTCATATTATATGTAAGTGGCCCAGAGGTTAAGGACTTTTCTATGTGAGACTTTCTCACATTTGAACAATTTCTTTTTAGTATAAATCCCAATATGATGTGATGGACAGGCACACTCACTGACCCTTATCATCTTCAGGCTGTTCTGCTCTGGATTTTTTTCCAGCCTAATTAAGCTCTTTGTTCTCGAGGCTATTTTAGGTGCCAGACTCCCCTCTCAGGAGGTACACCAGCTTAGATGTCATAATGTGAGGCTTCAAAATTTACCTGATAAATGGAACTCATAGTCTTTTAATTACAGTTATAAAGACCTTAAATATAGGCATTGAGAAAGCTATATATGCTTCCTTTATGAAGAATGTCAGAGGAAAGTAAAAGCCCAAGGCACCTTGGGAGACCATATAAAGGCTGCCACTCTGGAGGTGGGACAGGAAACACCAAACTCTTGACTTTCTGGTGTTAATCTCTGCACCCATTCTGGCTGCAGGGAAAGCAAGCGAACAGTGCAGTGGAGTCCCAAAGACGCCAGCGCCCATTACTCAGCCCCACTTACTCATCCAGTTTCTGACATTTAAGAAGCTCTGTTGACTGGTGAGGTCAAACATTAACAAGAAGCCCATGGCGTCTCTAAAGAACGCAGTGGTGAGGCTCCGGAACCTACGGAGGAAACACAAGGGCAGGTCTGAGTGTTAGCACACACACTTAGGGCCCTTGTACAAACACTGCTGTTTCTCCTTTAGATATGCAATCTCCATGGCTGGCCCTTGTGCATGACTGTAGAAATGGAAAAGAGGGAACAAAGACAGCTGGGGGTACCAGGAGGGAGGTTTTTGTTGTAGAGTTTTTATAAGACTGCGTCCTGGCTTTGTGATCTTGTGGCAGTGAGACAGAGATTGTAGCATTCAATTACATACTTGCTTATACAGCTTCTTGGAATCCTTTTCCTGTTGGCTCATGAGTATCTTGTGGACCAGAATACCAATTTACACTGTTTTAGTGAGGGCACTAATGTATACTTTTCAATCTTTCCTGTCTGTACCCAGTGGAAGAGTTGGCACACAAAGGCCTGCCATGAATGTGTGTGATCTTATGAAGCAAACCACAACTACCTAGCAGCTGAAACTAGAATTCTTATGCAAGGAACAATATTAATGCGCAAACTCTCACTAATTTTTTAGTGTAAAACTGAGCTTCAGGTTGGCATCTGGTTCTCATGAAAAAGCGGAAGGTAGTGGGACTAAGCCAAGATCAGGACAAAAGAGAGAGTTGGTAGCTGGAGAAGGGACGTGAGAAGACTCATTTCTAATGGGGCATGTTGAAGAACATGAAAGTCTCTATTCTCTTTTTTCCCATATAGAAATTCTGTCATGGCCGAGGTGAAGACTTTCTCTACCCACTCCTCCCCAAGTCCCCTCAGATCTATAGCGAAGCTGAAGATGTGCTGAGATCCACTTAGATATGAGCAAGGAGTAAATGGGAAACTATTCATAGGAACTAGAACTTGACAGAGGGTTAAAACAGGCATGTAACTGAAATAGAGAAGGATATCACTTCTTATTCCAACTACCATTTTAATTGTTGGGGTACTATTTAGCCTAATTTGTGGCTATTTCATGTTGATTTTCTCCAACATGACAGGTTCTTAACTATTCTTATATTATGTGCATTTTCTAGATAGTTTCACTTACTTCCTTGCCATTTACACAGTGTGCCTAATTACTAGTTGGTTATTTCTACATGTAGGACAATAAAGGATTTCCAGCATCATACACTACAAACCAACATGGCCCTCACTCTTGATTTCTCTCAATGGAATCATCTTCCTCCTGCTGGTCTTCACAATCTCTCCTCCACCTGCTCATCAACACACTTCTCTCTACCTGCTCATTTCTGTCCATTTACCTTGCCAATGCTCCAGTTCCAGACCTAGATCTCTCACTTGTATAACTTCAACAGCCTTTTTACTAGGCTTTCTGTGTCCAATTTTGTTTGGGACTCCCCACCTATGTCTTCCTATTGATTACATTAATTCTCTACCAACATCATCTTCTTCAATATGCATGGCTCCTAGGATAATACCTTAACTCCTCCTTAAGCTGTCAAGACTCAGCAGGACCTGATCCTTCCTTATCGTCTGTGCAGCTTTATCTCTTGACCACAGACAGGCATGCTGATCTGCCTTCAATCTGAGAAAGTTCACTCTCCTTCCTGGGGTCTCAGACCTGCTGGTGGTTCTCTGGGTAGTCTCACACCAATGTTTTTTTTTTCCTCCTACCTTTCTTTAGCCTAGATAATAATCACACATTCCATATGAGTGTGCAAAATGGCACCAGAGGAAATAGCACTTCCCCAAGGAGACTCCTAGCACCCACACCTGGGTGAGGCCCTCCTCCGGATAGATGCAGTTGTTCCAGGCCTCTATTGTATTATCTGAAAACTCCATGAGAAAATGAGTTGCTCTTCTAATTTACTCCATTATGTTTTCATGGCATGTAACACTGCTTGCTTACAAAATACTTGTGAAATTAAAGGGAGTATGAGAGAGAGAGGAAAAAAGGGAATAGAAAAAGGTATAAAATTTTGGACATTCAAAATTACTTCAGTAAAGAATACTTTTAGTTCAAAGCAAACAACAACAAAAAACAAACTGCTACTTGTTTCCCAATTATAATTTCCTTCAAAGGGCATTATCACGATCTGAAAATGTAGAGTGAAAATGACAAAAAAATTATTCATCTTTTTATTGTAGATTTGTTTCTGCCACTTCCTGGGAGTTTGTAGAATTTATAGGGGTTTTATTGAATGACTGTCTCTTTGGAGACTGACTACACTCACAAAATCACCTGCTACTCAACCAACATAGCAAGTGGATAATAAACCTGTTATTTGTTCTGTGTGTAAACGTGTGTTCAGAATAAGACTATATATGTTATTTTCCACTCATTCTCCATAGCACACCAGGGAGTCACTCAAAAATAGGCTTGTTATGTGACATGATTGTGTCAAACAAATTTTCATGGACAATAATATACATAGGATACTCTTGCCTGGGAGCAGGCTTATAATTTCAGCTCCTCTGCCTGGCATCGTTCTTATTGCTTATTCCTTCAAAGAAGAAAAATAATTGATTTGAGGCTTCACATAACCTCCCTTCAATTTTACTCTGGCTGGTGAGTCAACAGAATGAGGAAAGCAAGAACCATACAGAAACATCCTAGAGTCAGATACCTTAGTGTACATTCTCTCTCAGTAGGCACTAAGGCTGTGCCCTGCATCCTCCAAGTTTACATAAGGATTATGTATTATATTTTCCTTTTTCCCCTGATGTGACTTCTATCAATAATCATTATCTTACAACGATCGTACTTCCCAGATGTCCTGAGGCATAGGGATGAGGTGTGAGGCACTGTTTATCTTGTTGCTTAGATACACTTTGTATATACAAAATGCAACATTCTCAAGGGATGAATAAGCTCAGAGTTATTAAGACTGCCCTTAGTCTTCCCCATCTCCCTCATAGTGCAGCTGTCCTAAGAGGACAGATGAGAGAAGCCTGCCATCATGCTGGGCTGACATATCCTGTGCAAGGACATATGGGAAGCACATTTTCTCCTATTACTTCTTCAAAAATGAATTAAACCAGTCTATAAAACATACATCTTTGTGACAACAGAACTGACACATGAATAGAGACTCTTGTGAGGAGAGACTTCAGAGGAACTAGCAGTGTTGAAGGGTGTGTGTAAATGGGATTCACAGTCAGAAAAGCTAACAGAGAGGGCCCAGCACCTCTCCTGGTGTTTACACTCACTGAAAGCGAGAACATGTTGGATGCATTTCAATAATGAAAGTGTTTACAAGCATCAGCATTCTAAAACATACGATGCAAAATTCAGAGATATGTGCCTTCTAAACATCTTTGCTGCCAAACTTGCCACTTTTATTTAACCTTATATTTAAAAATATCTTTAGCTTTGGGTCTTTAATCCTTTGACACATTGGATCTCAAAGAAATACATTTGCATTGAGTAATGGAGCAATGCCTCTAGCTGTAAGCCTTAAACACTTTTGTGTACTGAGTATCTATTTCTTGGACCCTCCCAGAAATTATACCAAAATACCAGGCAGGGTCTCAGCACTCCTGAAATTCACAATTTGGTTGGGTGGAAAAGATCACAAATAAATTGATGAGGTGCCAATAAGATTGAAACAGAAGATTCTTCTAAAGAATAGATGTCATAGGTGTTGAGAAGAAAGGAGGGAGCTTGTTTCAGCTGAGGTGTAAAGATGGGCTTGACAGAGGAGAAAGAATCTGAGTCAGGCCTAGTGACAGGAGAAGACCAGAGTAGATGGGAGGAAGTTTAAGAGTTTAAATGGAAGGCAATCGGGTGAGCAAGGAAAGCCAGTGTCACTGTGTCTCAAAGAGGCAGTATGCAAGAACAGCAAAGGTGAGAAAAGTCTTCCTTTGAGTCCCTCATGGAGTAGCAGTTGTAATAGAGCTTATGTCCCATCTTCATTTTAAGTAACTCTTAAAAGGTTTCTTTCTACCAATGAACACAAAGACAGACTTATTTGAATCTGATTTCAGTAATCTGTACCAACTACACACTACTAGATATGGTGAATTAGTTAGAAGTCAGTAACTTTTATTTCTCATCCAAATGTCTGTTTTAGAAATGGGAAGATCTGCACATGTATCATTTGTTTTTCAGTTCACATGCAAAACTTGTTTTACATAAGATTTTTAGAGTTGTATGTCAAAGTAATTCCTTCTTACCGCTCTTGGCCTGCTGTGTCCCAAAGCTGCAGATGCACTTTAAATGCTTTCCCTGATGATCCATTTGGCCCTTGTGTGTTATAAACCTGAAAAACACAATTCTTTTCATTTCATCTTGCTTTGGATTTTGTCAACATTCTAATTCTCTGGGTTCACTCAACATGTTTTTTTCTTGATTACTATAATCAGAGTTCAGAGTGCAGAATAAATATTTGCTCTATTTTCCCCAGAAGTATCACATAGATCTCACTTTTAAATGTCAAATATAAATATGATTTTCAACACAATTTAGGCATTCTGAAAACTTAAATTAGGCACCTTCTGTTATTTCCTCACACAGGCAGCTAACATCAGAATAAGACCCAACTTCTTAGTTCAAGTATCAGTGTTTCATTTTCTTAACTGAGCTACTTTTCTTACCTGCAAATTGAGACCCATAATCTCTTCCTAATTCACAGAGTTGCTACAGACTTTAATAAAATAATAGATAGGAAAGCATTTAAAGAAAAAAATAAAGTGCTTTATGAATGCCTGAATATCTTTTTAGTGTGAAATATTTTCAGAACATGTTAACTGTAAAATATACACAGAACTTCTCAGCATATTGGCAGAGGATGTTTCAAGCCTTCCTTGACTAACCGTTCTTTAAGGGAGCTATTTGGTTAAGTTCAGTGGTTTAATGTAAAAGTTCTAAAAGGAAATTTTTGCCAGGAGTTATACTCAGATTGGTGAGACACTAGAGAGGGGCAAACCCTAGAGTTATTAGAAGCGAGTGTGCTAAAACTACACTACACTATACTATACTGACTTTCAGATAAAATAAAAGTATGTTTCAACTTCCAAGGCAATGTCCTTTCACTGAAGACTTCCTTTCTTTTCTTTCCCAGTTCTCAAGGAATGAGTTGATTTGTGACATCAACTGGAAGCCACAGCCCTCTTGGCAGTCGAGAACACCTTGCATGGCAGTAAATCTGGCCAGGCTTATGTGCCTATGCTACATGTCTCACATGTCACAATATCCTTACTCCTGTCATTAGCGTCTAGCATAGGAGAAGGAAGTGGTTGTGATTCTCACTTAAACTCCCTTATCTTGGAAAATAGCATGGATTGGTCTCACATTCTGTTCATAAGAAGCCAATGATTGATGGCTGGGGCTATGCATAAATAAAAATGTGGCAAGCTCTTACAAAGCTCATGTTCCAGTTATTTGCCAATCATACTTTTAACCTCTTTGTTAAAAATAAATAAATACTTGGCCTTACTGAAGAATTTAATTCAGATCAAAGAGTTAACATTTCTATATGTTCAATGGCCCTAATTTTTAAAGATTCCTTAAGAATTCATACAAACAATATGCAAATCCAAAAATTATTTTAACTCTGTATACTTCAGAGACAAGCAACACTGTCAGCCACTATTTTTCTAGCAAAATGTTATTTATAATCAAAAAAGTGTTAGTTAATATTCTAAAGTTATGCATTTCATGTAATAAAAGATACATTGTGGGCAATAAACATTGATTCCCAATTCGTTTTTTATATAGGGGAGTAAGAAAAAGGTTAACAGGATGGTTAAAAACTCACCACACGTTTTTCCCGAAAATCTATTCCTACTGTAGTGATGAATTTGGGATTGAATTTATTATCTGTGTATCTGTAAAGAAATGTCGTCTTCCCCACCCCTGAATCTCCAAGGGCCAGGAGTTTAATCAGGTAATCATAGTCCCCATCGGTCATAGTGAAGGTCTTGGTAGGCCTGTTAAGGAAAGGAAGGAGAAATACATTGCAGTTAAAGTTTATTTTCCTTTGTCCATTATCAAAATACAACATTAATCTCATTCTGAAGGTTAAAAAAATAAAATGCCTCAATTATGCCAAGTTCTGAATGGACTTGATCAAAGCAATTTCAGAGGTGAGGGCATACCTATCATTTCACTTTGCAAAAATGATGAATGATGTCAAATGACATCAAAAATGCTCAAAACAGCTACTGCCATCATACTGGAAGAACTTAAATCAAAATGTCATGAATGTTCATTATTAAAGTCAGTTATCTATGGGACAAAGACAACTGTGCTGGGAAGAGAAAGGACACAGGAACAGAAACCCTGTGAAGAGTGGCGCAGGAATTCTAGAGAGAGAGACGACTATACGTGGAAAATGGAGGAGAAAGCGTGAAGGTACATGTTACATGCAATCATGCAAGAGGAGCTTTCTATTATGTGCATACAAAATATTTTCTTTTTAATTTAAATTTTAAGAAAACTGGAATGAGAACATTATAAAGACTGGTTTGAAATCATTTCAAAAGCGATGCTGAGAAATTCACCACCTTTAAACACTGGAAGCTTCTGTTCTCCAGTGGTAAATCTGTGTTTGGTTGCAAAGTAGTGTATCTTGCAGACCTGGAGAACAGTAAGAGCTACTGAAGGGGAAGCTACCTAATTCTGCTAAAATTTTTTCTGTTGGGAAGAACAAGGCCATTTGCCGCTTCTCCTGTTGCTCTGGCTTGTCTCACCTCAGTTTCATTTGCTTTGCTGTTCCAGTGATGATGAGTGGGGAAGAGCCCCCAGCTCATGCCAGTGTGCTGCCCTGGTGACACCTGGAGTACCACACAGCATCTGACTGACAACAGCATCCACAGAAGGTTCTAGTATGGAGTCTAGGAAACTACCACTTTCTGATTCAAGGATATTGCAGATAAATTTGTCTATTCTAAGTAGTGGAAGGCCTAGAAAGATTTTTTTCTAGAAGGGAAAAAATCTTTCTCATTCCATGAAAAATGAATGCCCCTAATGAAGATTCAGAAAGCACTTTATTCATGAAGAGTTCTACAGTGATTCAATTTAAATTTTAACAAATTTCACAGAGAAATCTAAAAATATGAGATAATTCTAATAATTTTCTACATGTAAGAAAATAATATGCATAATGTGAACATACATACATTTAAATAAAAAATTTTTCTTTGTCAAAATGCAAACTAACTTCTCACTTCAGTAGTAGTTTAATCTAAAAAGTTGTATGTCATTGAATAAAAAAAGATGAAGATAATCGAGAAGCTTATCAAATAACGCAGAATTATTAAACCATTGGAACATTTGAAATTTTTTACATTGTGGGTTTCTCAAATTTAAACTATACTGTTGCTGTTCAATCCTATTAAATTCATAATGAATCTGTGTTCCTTTCTCTATGAATGTCTTGTGAGGAAGGCTACATTGAAGGCTACTAACACACATCTTTGTCCTACAATGTTTTTCTTCTAAAATTTGCACACTGAGGAGGATCCTCAGGATGGGGTTTTGATGAATATAAATACTCATCTAAAAATATCTATTCAAAGTATAATCACGGCCAGGAAGAATTGCATAGCAGCCATCAACAACCAGCCCTCCTCACTGAATGAGTACAGAAGTACAAGCTACTGACATGGACTTCTTCTGGGAAGTTATAGGCATGAGATGAATGAAAGTATGGTGGTCTCGCCTGTTATCCCAGCACTTTTGAAGGCTGAAGCATCATAAGTTCATCATAAGTTTTGAGGCTGAAGGATCATCAGTTCAAGTCCAGTTTGGCAACTTAGGAACTTGTTGAGATTGCGCTTCAAAATAGAAGCTAAGGGGCTGGTGAGATGGCTCAGTGGTCTAAAGCACCTACTTGGAACAAGCTTGGCAAAGCACAGGGACCGCGGTTCGATCCCCCAGCACCACATGCCAGCCAGCCCCGCTCCCTGGTGGGCTGAGCTGGCCACACACACACACACACACACACTAAATAAATAAATAAATAAATAAATGATAAAAAAAAATAGAAGCTAAGAAAGCCTGAATACATAGCTCATGGCCAAGGGCCTAGGTTTCATAGGAATGATAATCGTCATCATCATCACCATCATGACTGCCTAGAAGTGACTAGTTCTCAGCTCGCATGGCTTTATATATAGATGTCTTTTGGGATTTTATTGTTGAAGGTGTTGGCGGCCCCATCCTTTGAGGCAAGTGGGTTGCTAGTGAGGCAAAGTATCATGCTGCTTTCCTCACTAGGGGCCTGGCATTGCCTCAGTCTACTCTCTTTACTTTTCCCCTCAAAACTTTTTCATATGAAACTGTTCTCGAAGATGACACCATCTGGCATGCCACTAAGATGATGGTCTTGACAATCATCAAACTCTTAATTCTCTTAGGAAAAAAAGAGCTTCAATTTATTCTAAGGTAACCAAAGCCAAATTCTTTCCCAGCCATAAGCTTTACTGATGGGAGATAGAATGGAGCTCATTGGCTGCCCCAAGAGAAGATAAAGTTAAGGTATACTGTTGTTTCCTAGAATTAAAATAATAGAATAAAAAACTACATCACCGTACTTTAAACTGATTAAAGTTTTACCACATTGTTGGGCAATTTTGTGCATGCTGCATTTTCAAGAAAAGCTAAATCTTTACCAAACTCAGTATAATACTTTCAATCCATTGTATTAGGCCCAAGAATAAAACTGAAAAGATGTAATTGCTAACAGAGGCAAGGCAGGGTTATACTTGAAAGTTAAGTAAAGATGCAAGAAAATATGGCATAATTTTATAAGCCAGAACATTAGTGATAAAAAGGCAATGACCTGCAGTAGTCAGATGAGACTTAGTAGAGGAAGACAATTCTGCACTTAGCTTTATAGCACAGGAAAAAGCAATGTAGGAGGAGAAAGATTCAGGAGCAGTGCATGCCTGGCTGATGACTTCCCTGTAAGAAGGAATCCATTAACCTCTTGCCAGCCACTTGACCGTCATGTGTTCCTGATCGGTGCCCCATCTGTCCTCTGTTAATTGTACATAACACTGCCGTGGACAATACTGGGGCTGTCTCAGGGCTAAGGTTTAATCCACAGTGAGCCACACAGGTGAACACTGAGATGCACTTTGCTTCTTTTCTATGAATGAAGAGCAGACAGAGCTTTATGGCATTTAACATAAATACCACCTGAAACA